GCCGTCATGTCGGAAGGCTGAATGCACCGATTAGCTGGCTGTGACCTGGAATAAGGTTGCGTTTAGACTACACTATGTAGATCCAGATGAGCGTGGATGGCTGAAAAATCAAACGAATTCGTCAGGTTCATTTTTACTCATAGATCATGGGGTACCTGCACATGCGTATTAAACTCCAACCATGCCACCAGCCCAAAATAAAGGAGGATTTGCTTCTTCTCACTTCAATCAGCCAGACCACTGAATATGCGAATTAACTTCACTGAAAGGGTCAAAAAAACGAAAGAAATCGGATAAAATCTTAAGCTTGAAGTAGCTAGAGCCATATAATCAGCCTGTCCGCATATGCGTACTGATAAATTAAGGTATCAGATACTTCCCATCATAGCTGAATTCACAAATTAATAATGACACGCAAGGCGGGCCTCGATTGGTTGCTTCAAAGGACTCTGCAATATATTTTCTATTTATGGGTAATTGCGCATTCCATGGAAGAAAGCTATCGCGCACTCATCGTTTTAATAAAAGGGCTTTTCGTCGCATTTCCTATGAACCTGCGGGGACCGGCGCGAATAATAGTGCGCAATAAACAGATTGAGCATGATGTAAAATCAGCTAAATTATTGTACTCGTTTTCTCTCGATCATGAAGTTGTATTTAATTCAGTTGCCATTTGGTAAATATATGACCAGATCGAGAAAGAATATAAATTCTCATAGCAGATTTAAGGAGAATTTGCTAAGTAGCAACATCCCTTAATTTAGCATAATCCACCTAAGCTCACCAGTCAGCTCCCCTTCCATTGTTGTCCTCTGTTGATTTCAGCATTTGGCTCTTAGCTTGATACATCCCACCAGAGTATTGTTTGGCCTCACCGATGGAAGTTCTCCGTTTGCAAACATAGACTATTTAAAAGTATATTTTACCACATCGGCCCATTGCGCTTTATGCTTGCATATGAGTTACCATTTAGAAGATGCTAAAAAACAGCAGCTATCCTCGCCCCTTTTTCGTCATGTTGGAAAGCATGAACTGGTGACCAACTAAATTAACTAG